AACGATGATTCCCCCTTGAGTAAACATATGCTGTCTGTGCAATTCTTGCATGACTTTTAAAAATCTTTGGCTGTTCTTTCCTTCTTCCCTTCCTCTTGGCCACTACCACTGTCACTGTCATCACCCCCCTTCATTTCTCGCCAATGCTAGAAGCATAATAGGAGTCTTGGTGTTTACTCACTTCTTGCCTAATGATTTCACTTCACCAAGACATCAACATATATGTACACATGATTCACTTCCCCTCAGTAACTTACTATTTTCTTCAATATCATCAGTGTCCATCCAAGTAGAGATATTGTAGTGTCCGTAGATGCTTATCCTATTGGCTCATAAAGAGCTGTAAACACCAACATGTGGAGCCACAAAGCAGTTCATTTTATCTACATGATTGCATTGAGGAAGATAGATGGCCACATGGAAGAGGTGAACAAGGATGGGGTTAAAGAGAGAAGAAATACATGCCATGGTTCTTTAGGCTACTGTGTCCCAGAGGACCCAGAGCAAGTCCATATACTGCAAATGGTATTCATGTGCGTCTCTGCTGTAGCAATGGTTATACTGAAGTCCCTGTTTCCCCCTGCTTTTGGGACCTGTTTGGGACTGCTATAATAGCTTTCAAACAGTAAATAAAAATATTAGAGACCATCAAACTTTCCTCAAAGGACTTATTTTTTGTGTCAAAGATATTTAATGAATGTGTTGTCTTGCTTTTCTGAAAAAAATAGTTTACAGATGGAATTATATCGTCTTACAATTGTGTCCTGAGCAGAGTACAACTCTATGCATGTATATGGATATACTTCTATCCTCTGGCTTTTAATTTCTTCTGACCAACTTTAGGGCAAAGACAGTAGTGAGAATATTGCTAGGGCCAGACCTTGGTAAATTATGAAATAAATGCGCTGAATTCAGTCTTCTTTATGCTTCCTGCTCCAAGCTGTCTTCTAACTAAGCCCTGATATAGTCAAAGTATTAATATAATTCCCCAAAACACAAACTAAAAAGCTAACCAAGCAGTCTGACAAGCTTATTTCCTAGCCATGGGGGTCTCTGAGTTTTATTAGACTGTCAGCCCCTTGAGGGCAGAGACCATGTCTTTAAAAAAAAAAATCTATATTTGATCTCTAGTGCCTGTAACAGTAATTATCCCAAAGTAAGTGGACAATGCTCGAATGAATGAAAAAGGATAAAAATTTTAAAATTTATTTTAACATTATATTTATCTTCAAGTTTATTGAAGTGTTCAAGAGTTCTGAAAATCCCAAACAATAATTTCATTGATTGAAGGAGTATAGTCTTGGATACAACCACCCAATAGGCTGAGTGCATCATTTTCTGGTTCTTGCAGAAATTATACACCTACAGGCCTGGTGCAGTGGCTCACGCCTGTAATCCCAGCTCTTTGGGAGGCCAAGAAATGTGGATTGCTTGAACTTAGGAGTTCTGGCCAAGCCTGGGCAACATGGTGAAAGCTCGTCTCTACCAAAAATACAAAAAATTAGCCAGGCATGGTGGTACGTGCCTGTAGTCCCAGCTATTCGAGAGGCTGAAGTGGGGGGATGACTTGAGCCTGAGAGGTGGAGGTTTCAGTGAGCCAGGGTTGGGCCACTCCTGCACTCCAGCCTGGGCAACTTTGTCTCAAAAAAAAAAGAAATTATTCAACTTCATTTATATTAAACAAAGACATACATAATTACTGATGAAGAAAGAAAGAGAAGGATTAATGACTGATACTCAAAGCATCTCTCTAACTCTAGCTTTGATGAAAACTCTGAGGGAGAATGCCTTATAAAAGGGTACATTTGTCACTTGGATAACTGATCCTTCTACAAAGGGGACCAGATCCAATAACCTTACATTGAACTCCACTAATGGAAAAGTGTTACTACCCCATTTTAATGCATAAGAAACCCACCAGAGCTATCAGAGCACTGAAGAGAGAATTTTTATAGAAACAGAATGAGCCTGTTGATCACTAAAAATAACCAAGGATATTTATTGAAAAAAAATTTTTTGGCCATGTAAGTAGTATAAATAATCTCAGAGAAAATGTGTTGGTCTTCATCCTAAGACAATATTGAGTTTCTATGGGTATTTATGTGTTGGCAAAGGAAGGTAGGAGGAGTGCCAGTTTTTTTATGTACTTGTGCCCACAATAGCACCAAGTGATTTATCAGATACAGTATAATAAGAGCACTTGACTACCTGAAGGTGCAGGGATATTATTTTCTTCTCTTCAAAATAACTGGTTTTTGATAACATATAGTGGAGTGCTGGCAATTTTCTAGTATACACACTGCACACTCCCACATGCCTACCAGACACTGGAATTTTTAATTTCCAAAGTAAACTTATCTTCTGAGTTAAATTGTTTGATAGTCAATATCAATAAACCAAAAGTTTGATTGTCAAATGCGAACATCGTTTAGTGTTGCAGGCTCAATGTTTGCCTAATGGCTACACTCGGTCTCATGTGCACAGAGCTATTACTATGGTAATATAAACACTGGGAGATATATTTCTGAATTTTTTTCCAGTTATAGTGTTAGATGCATTTTATTTTTTCACACGTTTTAAATTTACTTATGATCAACTACATGACTGTGAGAATTTGCTCCAGGTTAGGAGTCCAAGTTGTGAGCACAGACAACAAAATTGGTTTATATACAAAGAAATATTCAGCTAGAGTGTTTATTCCTAAGTTTATTTTCAACATGCGATTTTCAAAGATAAAAATTGCATCAAATTTCAAGAATGATGCATATGCTTTATGTGATATAGCTTCTGCAGAAGATTTATATTTTAGTCTTTATCACGTAATGGAAGAAAAATAAGAAAGAAAATGGAAAAGTTAAGAATCAAGGTAAAGTTGCAGAAGTGAACCAAAGATGTGAACTCACAGTGTCCCCCACAGCTTGCACAGCTGCAGCCCTGAACACACACAGATACACATGAATGTGTTGCGCAGCCTGACCCTCTTCACAGTCTGGGGACTGCTTCTGTTTCTACATTTGATCAGCAAAGGTCGTCCTGTACTTACTCATCATTTCAAGTTAACAATAGCTCTGGAATGTATGCTGTACTACCAGTAATTGTGTATAATTGTACCACAAGGAATCATGTGAAAGAAGAAGCCATTTCACTGCAACGAGATTAAGGTCAACACCATTATAAATTAAGAAAGCAATAATGCAATTTTGAAACAAAAGCTATTTCAAGATATATGGTACAAAAGGAAGAGGCAGCAGGTCAGGGAAACTGAGTTCCCATTGAGATGTGCCAACTTTGTCATGTGACTTTACAGGAAGCACACAGACTTTCCAGGTTTCCGTTCCTATATTTGCAAAGCCAATGAGTGGGAATGGGTATCTACTGAGTCTCTTTCTGTTTCTAGCTTTTCTGTTCTCATTATGGAAACTATAAGAAGGACAAGCAAATTGAGTATTTAATCACAGATTCTTGGCCCTGCTGAGGTTTAGTTCAAGGGAAAGGGGCTTCCTCCCACAAAGAATCATTTTGTGCTTCAGCAGAAAATGAAGAAAAAGATGCTTCAGAGAAGTATGAACATCTTCATTAATAAAATCTACTTCTGTCATGTTCTTAGTCATGATGCTTCAGTGACCCCCCCGTCCAAATTCTCTACTTTGGTTCAAAAAAAGTAAAGAAGGCTGTAAAATGCAAGTGTTACCTGGGACAATAAACATAGTGGATCAATATCTCTTACAAGCTTTGATCAATTTTTGACAATTTTACACTCTTAAAAATTACTATGTGTCCACACAAAAACCTGTACATGCATATTTTTAATAGCTTTATTTATAATTGCCAAAACATCGAAGCAACCAAGATGTCCTTTAGTACAGAAACAGACAAACAAACTGGCCTCTATTCGCTCTTAGTAGGATTACACATGCAAGCATCTCCACCCCACTGAAAATGCCCTCTAGGTCACCCGGATCAAAAGGAGCAGGTATCAAGCACGCACAAATGCAGCTCAAAACACTTTATTCAACCACTCCCCTACGGGAAACAGCAGTGATAAATCTTTAGTAATAAACAAAAGTTTGACTAAGCCATACTAATATTAGAGCTGGTTAATTTCATGCCAGCCACCGTGGCCATACGACTAACCTGGGCTAACAGATCTCGGCATAGAGAGGTTTACTCTCAGTAAAGCTAAGTTCCATCTAAGTTGTAAAAAACTCCAGCTGAAATAAAATATATTATGAAAGTGGCTTTAATATCCTGAAGACACAATAGCTAAGACCCAAACTGGGATTAAGTGCCGAACTATGCTTAGGCCTAAACTCTAATAGTTACATTAACAAAACTATTCACCAGAGTACTAAAAGCAACAGCTTAAAACTCAAAGGACTTGGCAGTGCTTTATATCCCTCTAGAGGGGCCTGTTCTACAATCAATAAACCCTGATACACCTCACCACCTCTTGTCCCCAGCCTATATCCTGCCATCTTCAGCAAACCCCAAAACGGTTGTAGAGTAAGCACAAGGACACACATAAAAACGTTAGGTCAAGGTGTAGCTCAGGAGGTGGCAAGAAATGGGCTACATTTTCTATGTCCAGAAAATCTCACGACAACCTTCATGAAATCTAAGGGCTCAGGGAAGATTTAGCAGTAAACCAAGAGCAGAGTGTCTGGTTGAATAAGGCCATGAAGCACGCACACACTGCCTGTCACCCTCCTTAAATATTATTCAGAAATCACTATTACTAATAATTTTCTACGTACATATAGAGGAGATAAGTTGTAACATGGTAAGTGTACTGGAAAGTGCGCTTGGACAAACCAAAGTGTAGCTTAACCCAAAGCATCTGGCTTACACTTGGAAGATTTTATCATAACCTGATCACTTTAAGCTAACTCTAGCCCCAAACCTCGCTAAAAATATTATTAAACTATCTTAAACCATTTACCTGAGACAAAAGTATAGGCCATAGAAATTTTTACCCTGGTGGAAAAGACATAATACCGTAAGGGAAACATGAAAGAACTATACCAAGCACTAAAGAGCAAAGACAAGCCCTTATACCTTCTGCATAATGTATTAACTAGAAATAACTATACGCAGAGAAATATAGTCAAGTCCCCTGAAACCAGACAAGCCACCCAACAACAGCTGAAAGAGCACACTCACCTATGTGGCAAAATAGTGGGAAGACGCATGAGAAGCAGTAACAAGCCTACCAAGCCTGGTGACAGCTGGTTGTCCAAGGCAGAATCTTAGTTCAACTTTAAACTTACCCACAGAATTACTTAATCTCCCTGTAAGTTTAAGTGTTAGTCTACAGAGGGACAGCTCTTTAGACCCTAGGAAACGATCTTCTTACAGAGAGTAAAAAATATTACCACCATAGTTGGCCCAAAAGCAGCCACCAATTAAGAAAGTATTTAAGCTCAACATCTAACTGTCTTAAATTCTATTTACTCTACTAAACCCTTAACATCACATTGGATTAGTCTGTTGCTTACTAGAAGCAATAATGTTAATATAAGTAACATGAAGACATTCTCCATTGCATAAGCTTATATCAGACCGAAATAACCCATTGACATTTAACAGCCTAATATTCATAAATGATATAATAAGCATCCTATTATTATTTTTTTATTGCAAACAAGTAAAACTATTAGCAATCATTACCTCCTTCCCTAGCCATGATTTATCATTTCTGATAATGACTTTTATCATTTCTCAGAAGTATAATCTTCATAAAAATATAGTTGTTTACATTTCTTTTTTTTTTTCTTTTAAAAATATTTCTAATTTTCTTTTACTTTTTTCATTGTACTTTAGGTTTTGGGGTACATGTGCAGATCAAATTGTTGCATAGGTACACACATGGCAATGTGGTTTGCTGCCTCCATCCCCCCATCACCTACATCTGGCATTTCTCCCCATGTTACCCCTCCTTGACCTCCCCACTCCCCCACTGTCCCTCCCTTGGCCCTCCCGAACAGATCCCAGTGTGTGATTCTCCCTTCTCTGTGTCCATGTGTTCTTATTGTTCAACACCCACCTATGACTGAGAACATGCGGTGTTTGATTTGCTGTTCTTGTGTCAGTTTGCTGAGGATTATGGCATTCTATTATTTACATTGTTAACCCAACACATGCATGCTCTAAGGAAAGATTACAAAATTAAGAGGAACTCAGCAAATCTTACCCCGTCTGCTTACCAGAAACATCTCCTCTAGCATTACCAGCATTGGAGGCACTGCCTGTCCAGTGACATATGCTCAACAGCCATGATATCCTGACCGTGCAAAGGTAACATCATCACTTGTTCCCTAAATAGGGACTTGTATGAATGGCCACACAGGAGCTCAGCTGTCTTTTACTTTTAATCAGTGAAATTGACCTATCCGAGAAGAGGCGCATAAACACAAATAAGATGGGAAGAGCTTATGGAGCTTCAATTCATTAATGCAAATCAAAACTCAAACAAGCTTACAGGTGCTAGCCTACTATCCCTGCATTAAAAATTTTGGTTTGGGTGACCTTGGAACATAATTCAATCTCCAAACAACCTAAACTAAGACTGCACTAGTCTAAGAGAGTTAACCCACATTGACCCAATAATTTGATCAATGGAGTAAGCTACCCTGGGGATAACAGTGCAATCCTATTCTAGAGTTCATATCGACAATAGGGTTTATGATCTAATGTTGGATCAGGACATCCTAATGATGTAGCCACTATTAAGAGTTTGTTTTTCCAACAATTAAGGTCCTATGTCATCTGAGTTTAGACCAGAGTAATCCAGGTCGGTTTCTATTCAACATTTCTCCTAGCATGAAAGGACAACAGAAACAGGGCTATTTCATAAAGCATCCTCACTCCATAAATGATGCTATCTCAGTCTAACAAACCATCACACACCCTACCCAAGAACAGGGTTTGTTAAGATGGCAGAGCCCGGCAATTTCACAAAACGTAAAACTATAACCAGAGATTCAACTCCTCTTGTTAACAATGTGCCTATAATTAACCTTCTCCCATTATCCCCTCTCTTACCGCTATAGCGTTCCTCACACTCCTTGAACAAAAAATCTTAGGCTATATACAACTACACAAAGGACCCAACGTTGTAGGTCCCTACGGACTGCTTCAACCATTCTCTGATGCAATAAAACTTTTCACCAAAGAATCCGTATGGCCCTCAACATCTACTATTGCCCTTTATGATTGCTCCAACCCTAGTCCTTTCCGTCACTCTCCTCTTACGAACTCCCCTTCTTATACCAGACCCTCTAATTTTAATATCGGCCTCCTAGTTATACTAGCCACATCAAGTCTAGCAGTCTATTCTATGATCAGGAAGAGCATCTAATTGAAAATATGCGCTAATCAGCACATTACGAGCTGTGGCCCAGACAATTTCATATGAGGTCACCCTAGCCATTATCCTGCTATCAGTTCTACTGAGAAGCAGTTCATTTTACTTACACACACTCATCACAATGCAAAAATTCCTCCGACTGTTCCCACCATCGTGGCCCCTAGCCGTAATATGATTCATCTCCACACTAGCAGAAACGAGCTGAGTCCCTTTTGATCTAGCAGAAGGAGAATCAGAGTTAGTCTCAGACTTCAACATTGAATATGCCCCAGGCTCATTTGCCCTCTTCTTTTTAGCAGAATATATGAATATTCTCATGATAAATGCCCTAACTGCTACTATTTTCCGAGGAGCACTATACACTGTATATTCACCAGAACTCTTCACCACAAATTTCATTACCAAGATCCTTCTTTTAATCACTCTGTTTTAATGAATTCAAATGGCAAACCCTCAATTCCGCTATGACCACCTCATACATCTTTTATGAAAAATGCCACTTACACTAACATTTTGCATATGATATATCTTAATGCCTGTCCTAATTTCCAGCATTCCACCCAAACATAGGAAATACATCTGACAAAAGAATTATGTTGGTAGAATAAACAATAGACATTAAAGTCCTCTTATTTCTAGAACTATAGGAATTGAACCTACCCTGAGAATCCAGAATTCTCCATCCTACCTATCACACCACATCCTAGAGTAAGGTCAGCTAAATAAGCTTTCTGGCCCATACCCCAAAAATGTTGGTTATACCCTTCTCGTATGAATTAATCCCTTAGCTCAATTTATTATTTCCCTAACCATTTTCACAGGGACTCTTATCACAATGCTAGGCTCAGACTGATTTCTCATCTGAACAGGCCTAGAAATAAACCTACTAGCCTTTACCCCAATCTTAATTAAAAAAATAAATCCCTGCTCTACAGAAGCAGCCACCAAATATTTCCTTACACAAGACACCACATCTATAATTCTCATGATAGGTATCCTTTCCAATAACCTGTCTTCTGGACAATGAAAAATAATAAACACTATCGATCTATTTTCATCCTTAATAATAATAGTGGCCCTAGTAATAAAACTAGGGATACTCCCTTTCACTTCTGAGTCCCAGCAGAACTCACGGTGTCTCTTTAATGTCTGGCATACTTCTCCTCACATGACAAAAACTATACCCTATCTTGATTATGTTTCAACTTTTCCTATCAACAACTATGAACATCCTCCTATTGGGAGACCATCCTCTTAATCCTACAGTTAGGATTTTATCTGTACAATCCTATTCGTTATAATGGGTGGTTGAGGGGGACTTAACAAAACACAACTGTGTAAAATCCTAGCCATCTCCTCAATCACTCACGTAAGTTGTACAATGGCAGTGCTAATTTATAACCGGAGCATTACCACCCTAAACCTGAATATTTATGTTATCTTAACAACAACCACATTTCTAGCACTCAATCTGAGTATAAACACCACTACACTATCACTATCTCATGCCTGAAACAGATTAGCATGGTTGACACCTATAATTCCGCTAATTCCACTATCCTTAGGAGGTTTACCCCCATTAACAGAGTTCTTGCCTAAATGATCATCATTCAAGAATTTACAAAAAAACAATAGCCTTATTACCCCAACCATTATAGCTGTTCTAACCATACTCGACCTGTACTTTTACATATGCCTAAACTATTCCATTTCAGTAACACTATTCCCCACATTGAACAATAAGAAAATAAAATGACAATTTGACAACACAAAACCCATATTACTCTTCCCCCCACTTTTCATCTCTTCCACCATCCTCTTACCCATCCTCCATTAATACTAACTATAACTTAGAAATTTAGGCTAAATAAGACTGAGGGTCTTCAAAGCCATTAGTAAGTAAATTACATTTAATTCCTGTAACAGACCCAAAGACTGCAAGACTCTATTCTGCATCAATTGAATGCAAATCAACCACTTTAATTAAGCTAAGCCCTTACTAGATTGGTGCAATTCAACCCACAAAAATTTAGTTAACAGCTAAACACCCTAATCAACTGGCTTCAATCTACTTCTCCCACCCTTGGGGGAAAGGTGGGAGAAGCCCAGGCAAGATTGAAGCTACTCCTTTGAATTTGCAATTCAGCATGAGAAATCACCTCACATCTGGTAAAAAGAGGACTTGACCTCTGCCTTCCTATTTATAGTCTAATCTCACTCAGCCATTTTACCCTGGGTGGAGGCTGGGGAGGCTCACTAAGGTTCATCAATCATTGATTGTTCCCAGCTAACCACAAAGATATCGGAACACTATACCTGCTACTGCACATGCGTGGGGATAGCAGGCACCGCCTTAAGCCTTCTAACTCAAGCAGAACTAGTCCAGCCATGAACTCTGCCAGGAGATGATTAGATTTATAATGTTATTGTTACCGCCCAAGCATTCATTATCATCTTCTTTATGGTAATACCAATCATAACGGGTGGTTTTGGCAACAGCCAGTCCCTCTGATAATTGGTGCACCCGACATGGCATTCCCCCAGATAAATAATACGAGCTTCTGACTTCTGCCCCCATCTTTTCTACTTCTACTTGCGTCCTCAATAGTAGAAGCTGGTGCTGGAACAGGCTGGACAGTTTATCCTCCTTTAGCAGGAAACCTAGCATATGCAGGAATCTCTGTGGATCTGACCATCTTCTTGCTCCACTGGGCAGGTGTCTCTTCTATTTTAGGGGCCATTAACTTTATTACCACTATTATTAACATAAACCCCCAGCCATATCCCAGTATCGACACCCCTTTTCATCTGATCAGTCCTCGCCATGGCAGCGCTTCTACGCCTTCCCCTCCCAGCCCTAGCTGCCGGCGTTACTATACTGTTAACTGACCGTAACCTCAACACTATTTTTTCTGACCCTGCTGGCAGGGGTGACTCTATCTTGCACCAACATTTATTTTGATTTTTTTGTCATCCTGAAGTCTATATCCCTATCCCACCAGGCTTTGGGATAATCTTCCACATCATAACATATTATTCTGGAGAAAAGGAACCATTTGGGTACATGGGCATAGTATAAGCCATAATATCAACTGGCTTCTTAGGATTTATCGTATGGGTCCACCATATACTTACAGTAGGAATAGACATTAACACACGAGCATGCTTTACCACCACTACCATAATTATTGCTATTCTTCTGATGTCAAGGTCTTCAGCTGATTAGCTACACTACATGGAGGTAACATCAAATGATCTCCTGCAATATTCTGAGCCCTAGGATTCATTTTCCTTTTCACAGTAGGAGGCTTAACCAGCATCATACTAGCTAATTCATCACTAGATATCGTCTCACAGGACACATACTATGTTGTAGCCCATTTCCACCATGTCCTATCAATAGGAGCGGTATTGGCCATTACAGAAGGTTTTGTCCACTGATTCCCCCTGTTTTCAGGTTATACACTTAATCAGATGTATGCTACAATCCACTTCATCATTACATTCATAGGTGGTAACTTAATCGTTTTTCCACAGCACTTCCTCAGCCTATCCGGTATGCCTCGATGTTACTCCGATTACCCTGATGCATACACTGCACAAAATATTATCTCATCTGTAGGCTCATTTATCTCAATAACAGCAGCTTTACTAGTAATCTTTATGATCTGAAAAGCTTTTGCTTCAAAACTAAAAGAACTAACAAATGAACAATCATCTACTAATTTACAGTGACTTTACGGCTGTCTACCACCTTATTCAAAGAGCCAACCTATGTGAAAACCTAAAAGAGAAAGAAAGGAATCAAACCCCCAGAAACTGGTTTCAAGCAATCCCATAACCCCTATGATCCTCTCAATAAGATATTAGTAAAATTATTACATAACTTTGTCAAAGTGAATTTATAGGTTAAATCCTGTATGTCTCAATGGCTCATCCAGTTCAATTAGGCCTTCAAGACGTTACATCCCGTATTATAGAACTACTCACTTTCCATGACCACACTCAAAATTATTTTCCTAATTAGTTCCCTGGTACTATACACTTTTTTCCTAATACTCACAACAAAATTAACTTATACTATCATCATAGATGCCCAAGAAATTGAGACTGTGTGAACTATTTTACTTGCCGTTTTCTTAATTTCAATTGCCTTCATCTCTATGTATTCTGTACATAACGGATGAAATTAACAACCCTTCTCTTACCGTCAAAGCAATTGGCCACGAATGGTATTGAAGCTATGACTATATAGACTATGAGGAATTAGGCTTCAATTCTTACATAGTCCCAGCAGTAGACTTAAAGCCAGGAGAACTTCGACTCCTTAAAGTTGATAACCGAACAATTCTCCCAATAGAGATCCCCATCTGTAACTTAATCTCATCTGAAGACATCCTGCACTCATGAACTATCCCCTCACTGGGCCTCAAAACAGAAGCAATCTCCAGACATTTAAATCAAACTACCTTAACCGCTACATGACCAGTCCTTTAATATGGACAGCACTCAAAAATTTGTGGGTCTAACCACAGTTTTACACCTATTGTCCTAGAATTAACCCCCTTAGAATGCTTCAAAACCTGATTCACATTTGCACTGTCATATCACTGTAAAGCTATCCAGCATTAACCTTTGAAGTTAAAGGTTGAGGGGGTCTTCAATTCTCTGCAGTGAATGCCTCAACTAGATACTTCCACATGATCTGCTGTCATCCTGTCAATAATCATAACTTTATTCTCCATTATTCAGTTAAAATTATTCATTTACTATAGATCCTCTATACCAAAAATAATCAAGATGTGAAATCATCAAGCCCCCTGAGAATTAAAATGAATGAAAACCTCATTCACCCCTTTTACTACCCTGACAATTCTAGGCCTACCTGCAGTAGTATTAATCATTTTATTTCCCACCATACTATTTTCAACTTCCAGTAATCTAATGAGTAAATTGATTTCTATTTAACAGTGACTAATTCAACTTGTACTAAAACAAATAATAATTACCCATAAAATTAAAGGATAAATCTGATTCCTTATACTGATCTCCCTAATTGTCTTCATTGCCTCAACCAATCTCCTTCAGGCTTCTACCCCATTCATGTACACCAACTACCCAATTATCAATAAATCTAGGTACAGCAATCCCCTTATGAGCAGGTGCAGTAATTATAGCCTTCTGCTTTAAGACAAAGACCTCCTTAGCTTACTTTTTACCACAAGGCACACCTATACCTCTTATCCCTATGCTAGTGATCATTGAAACTATTAGCCTATTCATTCAACCAGTGGCATTAGCTGTGCAATTAATTGCCAGCATTACAGCTGGACACGTACTAATGCATTTAATCAGAGGAACCACACTAGTGCTATCAACTATCGGTCTTCCCATGGCTTTAAGTGGTCTCATTACTCTAATCCCACTGACCATCCTCAAATTCACCGTAGCCCTTATTCAGGCCCACGTCTTTGCCCTACTAGTAGGCCTTTACCTGTATGACAACACATAATGACCTACCAAACACATGCCTACCGTAGAGTCAGCCCCAGCCCCTGACCTCTAACAGGAGCTCTCCTAATAACTTCGGGCCTGGCCATGTGATTTCACTTTAACTCTATCACTCTTCTAACCCTAGGCCTACTAACACCAACTATATGTCAGTGATGACGTTATCCGAGAAAGTACCTTTCAAGGCTACCACACATCAATCATCCAAAAAGGCCTTCGATATGGAATAATTCTATACATTAACGCAGAAGTATTCTTTTTTGCTGGTTTCTTCTGGGCATTCTACCACTCTAGAAGCCACAGTGGGCCTTGCCTTACTCGTTTCAATCTCCGGTACATTATGGCCTAGGTTACATACAAAATCTTAGTCTACTTCAAGGTTAAAAATTATTATTCCAACAATTATACTGTTACCAATGACACGATTCTCTAAAAATTCTATAATCTGAATCAGCATGGCTATCCACAGCCTACTCATCGGCCTTCTATTTTTTAACCAGTTAAATAACCCATCCAGCTTCTCACTAATCTTCTCTTCTGACCCACTGACATCACCCCTTCTAATCTTAACAGCCCGACTACTGTCTTTTATAATTCTAGCAAGCCAATACCACCTGTCCAATGAATCACCCCCATGAAAAGACCTCTATATTTCTATACTGATTTCCCTGCAGACTTTTTAAACCAGCATTCACCGCTGCATACTTAATTATATTTTATATCCTCTTTGAAGCCACATTGTTCCTACCCTAATTATCATCACTCACGGAGGCAACCAATCAGAATGCCTCAATGCAAGTTCATACTTATTTTACACACTTGGGATTCCTTCCTTTACTTGTAGCACTTGTTTATACTCAAAATACCCCAGATTCACTAAAGTGCCAGTAATAATACTTACTACCAAAGCGCCATTAACCTCCTAATCCAATAATCTAATATGCCTAGCATGTATCATGGCTTTTCTAGTAAAGATACCTCCAGACGGACTTCACCTGTGACTCCCCGAAACCCATGTAGAAGCCCCTATTGCCGGCTCAAAGTGACTTCCAACAGTATTCCTATAGATGGGCGGTTATGGCATAACACGGCTTACTCGTATCCTCAGTCTCCTAACAGAACATGTAGGCTACCCCTTCCTCATACTATATACCTATGAGGGATAGTCATGACAAGCTCTATTTGTCTACAACAAACCGATCTAAAATCACTTATTGCCTATTCCTCCATAAGCCACATAGCACTTGTTATTACGGCTATTCTCGTTCAGACGCCTTGAAGCTTTACAGGTGTGGTCACCCTTATAATTGCTCATGGACTACTTCATCCTTACTATTCTGCCTAGCAAATTCCAACTACAAGATAGTCCATAGTCAAACCATATTACTTACCTGAGGCCTTCAGGTAAGTGATACGCTCCCACTAATAGCCTCTTGATGACTTCTAGCAAATCTTACTAACCTTGCCTTACTCCCTACCATTAATCTATTAGGAAAATTCTTTCTGACTATGGCCTTATTCTCCTGATCAAATATCACTATTATGCTTATAGGACTTAATATACTCATTACAGCTCTTTACTCCCTGTACATGCTAATCATGACACAAGGAGGGACACTTGCATATTATATTAACGGTATTAAACCTTCCTTTACATGAGAAAAGACGTTAATGCTTATACATCTAGCGCCCAGCTTCCTATTATCATTGAACCCTAAAATTATTATGGGGTTTGCATGCTTGGCTATAGGTTAACCAAAACATTAGATTGTAGATCTAACAATGGAAGTCTGCAACTTCTTACCTACCGAGAATGTAAGAACTGCTAACTCACGCCTCCATGACTAACAACATGGCTTTCGCAACTTTTAAAAAGTAGAGTTATCCTTTGGTCTTAGGAACCGAAAACAGTGGTGCAACTCCAAATAAAAGTAACAGACATGTATTCTTCCACTGCTCTAACAGCCCTAATTCCCCTAATCTACCGATTATTGTTACCTTAGCCAATCCCTGCAAAAAAGGCTCACACCCAAATTACGTAAAAACATCTCTTGCGGGCTGGGTGCCGTGGCTCATGCCTGTAATCCCAGCACTTTGGGAAGCCAAGGTGGGCAGATCATCAGGTCAAGAGATCGAGACCATCCTGGCCAACATGGTGAAAATCCGTCTCTACTAAAATGCAAAAATTAGCTGGGTGTGGTGGCACGCGCCTATAGTCCCAGCTACTCAGGAGGCTGAGGCAAGAGAATTGTTTGGACCCATGAGGCAGAGGTTGCAATGAGCCGAGATCATGCCACTGCACTCCAGCCTGGCACCTGGCAACAGAGCAAGACTCTGTCTCAAAAAATAAAAATCTATCCCATGCACCATCATCATTAGCCTCATCCCTACAACAATGTTTATAAGCACAGACCAAGAAACCATTATCTCAAACTGACATTGAATGATGATCCAGACTCTCAATCACTAAGCTTCAAACTAGACTACTTCTCCGCGATATTTACCCCAGTAGCACTATTTGTTGCCTGATATATTATAGAATTCTCAATATGATATATAAATTCAGACCCTAACATTAGTTTTTCAAATACTTATTTTCCTCATCACAATATTAATTCTGGTTACTGCTAACAACCTCTTTCAGCTCTGCCAAGACCAGCTCGGCCGTAGAGACCCCAACCCAGGTGGCACTGAAGGCATTAAGAAACAGACACCCGGCCGGGCGCGGTGGCTCAAGCCTGTAATCCCAGCACTTTGGGAGGCCGAGGCGGGTGGATCACGAGGTCAAGAGATCGAGACCATCCTGGTCAACATGGTGAAACCCCGTCTCTACTAAAAATACAAAAAAAATTGGCTGGGCATGGTGGCGCGTGCCTGTAATCCCAGCTACCCAGGAGGCTGAGGCAGGAGAATTGCCTGAACCCAGGAGGTGGAGGTTGCGGTGAGCCGAGATCGCGCCATTGCACTCCAGCCTGGGTAACAAGAGCGAAACTCCATCTCAAAAAAAAAAAAAAAAAAAAAAAAAGAAACAGACACCCAGATAGAGCAGCCAAGTGGGTCTATGCGGGGGTCAGGGGCAGCCAAAAGCCTTCCGAGTTGAGAGCCTCAGGGGCTGACAGCATTCCAGGCTGAGGGCCTGGAGCAGATTCTGACCTACGTGTTTATTCCCTGTTAACAGGGGATTATTATCAACAAACATGTTCTATGTTTTCTCATAGAACCAAGATAAACTAGGTAGGCAGCTGGTGCCTGCTTACCACTGATCAAGGACAAACTAGGAAGTATTCTCCACGAGGGAGCCATGGTGGCAGGGTCACATATCCTGTGCTTAAAGAATTGTTTTAACCACGGTATGATATACATATACTGTTTTGCTACTTCAGAATGCCCCAAGAAGCTTTCCACTTGGGGGAGGGGGGCGGACAGCTAGGTTTTCCTTCCTATCATTCTTCTTAGCAAACAATATAATTTTATCATACACTCTGCATTTTTCAGCAAGTATACACTCAGCATTTCTTAACACAGCTCTTTATCAGATGAGAAGGTGTGGGAATCATGTTTTTCTTACGCATCAGCTGATGGTATGACTGAGCAGATGCTGGTACAGCAGCCCTCCAAGCAGTCCTGGACAACCACATCGGCGATGTCGGCTTCATCGTAGTTACAGCATCGTTCCTCTTGCCCCCAACACATGAGAATTTCAACAAACATTTATTCTTGACCCCACCCCCAACTCCCTTACATTAATTAGCCTCCTCTTAGCAGCAGCAGGAAAGTCCGCTGAATTCGGCCTCCATCCTTGACTTCCATCTGCCATGCAAGGTCCAACCCCACTCTCAGCACTGCACCGCTCCAGCACTATAGTTGTAGCAGGAGTCTTCCTGCTCATCTGCTTCTACCTTTCAGTAGAATATAACCTATCAATCCAAACCTTTACATTGTATCTGGGGCTATCACTACCTTATTCGCAGCAATCTGTGCTCTAACACAAAAGGATATCAAAGAAATCATACCCTTCTCCACCTCAAGACAACTAGGCATTAAAATAGTCACAATTGGCATTAATCAGCCACATCTAGCATTCCTTCACACCTGCATCCTTGCCTTTTTTAAAGCTATATTTATGTATATGTTCAGGGCCTTCATCCTAGCCTCAGTGATGAGCAAGACATCTGGAAAACAGGAGGACTATTTAAGACTTTCCCCCTCACTTCCTCCTCCCTTATCATTGGTAGCCTTGCACTTACAGGCATGCCTTCCCTCACAGGCTTTTCCTCTAAAGACTTCATCATTGAAACCGCAAACACATCATACACCAACGCCTGAGCCCTTTCTATTACTCTTATTGCCACCTCCTTGACAGCCGTCTACGGTACCCATATTATTTTCTTCACACTAATAGGACAACCTCATTTCATGACTCTGGTTACTATTAATGAATTTAACCCCTTCCTAATTAACTCAGTTAAGTGCCTAACAATCGGCAGCATCTTTTCTGGATTCCTCGTCACCAACAGTATTATTCCTGCTTCATCCCCACAAACAACAATTCCACTCCACCTGGAGCTCACAGCCCGAGGCCTGACCATCTGAGGCTTCTCGCTAGCAATGGAATTTAATCTCATAACTAATAACCTTAATCCAAAGTACCCATTACAGACATTCAGCTTCTCCAGTGTATTAGGATTTTATTCAGCCACAATTCACCGTACAACCCCCACTCAGGCCTATTCACAAGCCAAAATCTGGCTTCAGTTCTACGAGGCCTAATTTGACTAGAAAAGTCTATACCAAAGACCATTACATAAACCCAAATGTCAGCCTCCATCATCGTGTCTACTCAGAAAGGCCTAATTTTTTTGTTGTTGTTGTTTTTTGTTTTTGTTTGTTTGTTTGTTTGTTTTGAGACGGAGTTTCGCTCTTGTTACCCAGGCTGGAGTGCAATGGCGCAATCTCGGCTCACTGCAACCTCCGCCTCCTGGGTTCAGGCAATTCTCCTGCCTCAGCCTCCTGAGTAGCTGGGACTACAGGCACGCGCCACCATGCCCAGCTAATTTTTTGTAGTTTTAGTAGAGATGGGGTTTCACCATGTTGACCAGGATGGTCTCGATCTCTTGACCTTGTGATCCACCTGCCTCGGCCTCCCAAAGTGCTGGGATTACAGGCATGAGCCACCGCGCCCAGCCTGAAAGGCCTAATTAAACTCTACTTTCTCTCTCTCTCTTTTTTTTTGAGACAGAGTCTTGCTCTGTTGCCAGGCTGGAGTGCAGGTGAATGACCTCAGCTCACTTCGTCCTCTGCCTCCCAGGTTCAAACTATTTCCCCTGCCTCAGCCTCCCACATAGCTGGGACTACAGGTACACACCACCACACCTGGCTAATTTTTTGTATTTTAGTAGAGATGGGATTTCACCATGTTGTAACGGGTGGGGGGCTGGGGAGCAGAGGCGTCCTGAAAACACTTTCAGCTCCCCCATCTGATGTGCCCAGGCCCTTGACCTCTCTTACCCCAAGAAGGGGGCAAGGGGCCCCAGAGGCACAGTGAGCTTAGTGTTTGAATAAATACTGTGGACCCAAAGAATTTAGCAAAGAAGTGATTTATTAGGCAGAGAGAGAGAGAGAGAAAGAGAGAGAGACAGAGAGAGAGCCCCCATGCTGCCATGGGAGGGGAATCTGGAGCAGATATCCATATAGGTAAGGAGCCTGGGGGTTTTAACCCTGAAGTTATTCCCGTCCCATTCATATTCTTGTCCAATGAGAAGGGTCCATTCAAACTTCCACTGGAATGATTAATCTTTGACTCTGATACCAGATTGGCTACTTGGCTGCAACAAAGCCCCCTCCTCCCAGAGGTTTTTGGGCTTTTTGAACAAATAAGCTCACCTGGATTTTTCTACCTAGCTCCCAGGTGGGAAAGTCAGACGAAGAACTCTAGGTTTCCAGTTGGGGCGTGGATGGAGGCGTGGCACTGGGAAACTCTTGCCTTTGAAATCACACCCCTCATGGACCCAGGAAGAGAAATTTTTTTCCTTAACACAGTCCCTCAGTCCCCACTCTGAAAGGGAAAGTCCAACTGCTGTTGGGACACGGGCATCTATTGCTCTTTAACTAATTCCTGCTGAATTGGGGCATAGAAGGGGCCCTGCAGTTGAGGTTTCCTCCAGAGGGGAGTCTTCTACGGATGCAGGTTGATCCAGAGATCCACGATAGAACTTATGAGCCAAGGACGTCCGGGGTTCCATTTGCAGGACCATTTGTGGCCTTATGGCTTTAATTCTAGAAGAAATGAATTTGACAAGAAGGTTAATGGTGAGGCCCAAAGACCAGCAATAATAGAATGGTTTTAAATGGGCCTAGAAGAGGGTAGAGCCAGGACAGCCAGTTGTTAAACAAGCTCCATGATCCTGTTTCTTGAAGGTCTTTAGCCCTGCATTTGATTGATCCCTGAGTTCTTTAACTTTGTTTAAGAGAATACCCAATTTGTTTACAAGGTAGCAGCATTTTTCTCCTAAAAAGAGGTAGGTTCCTTCTCTCTCTCTGCTGTTAGCGATTCAGGGCCCTTCTATTGAAGAGCTGAGGCAGCTAAAGAGTTAAGCTGCTTCTGCAGAGAGAATGAGCAACCTTTCCCATGTTATTATTTAATTCCTGAGATAGCTCATAGTAAAACTGAGTAACTCTTCCAATGCCAGTACCAAGTCCTCCTATTCTTCCCCCCACCCACAACCCGTGAAAGGAATAACTGGGGCTTGAGTATGGCATGGGCCTGGCAAGAGAAGGCTCTGCACCTGAGAGCTGGTATAAATTGTCATGGGGGGAGGGCACTAGGAAGGGGAGGAGGAGAGCTATTAGGCCAATCCATAGGGGCAACTGCATAGAGTCTGGTCACAGATAGTAAAGTTAAGAGTGATAATCCTGTTAATGCCAGGATGCAGATTAGACTTATGAGTAGGTACTTTCCTGGGGCTCTCCTTGGAAGAGCAAACGTAGATCCTCCAACAGCTCACAGGTGCACAAAGGATCATCTCCTGGAACTTCAGGCTGTGGAGTGGAAGGCCTATTATTTTCTTCAGGAGGTGTCCAAGGCTTCAGCTGAGTGTAATGAATCCACGAGTCAGTTCCATCGCCTTAATTGCTGTTGGGGTAGGCAGAATAACCGAAAATGGTCCTTCCCAAGATAGGCCTTGGTTGAGCCAAATTCTCCTCCTACTGCCTGTAGGGGGCAGAGTTGGGGCATCCTAGTAGCCTGAGGTGCCTTGGCCTTCCCTAACTCCTCTTGGGTTGTAGGAGCTGAGAAGACCATGTCAGCATCAGTGGAGGGAGGGGCCACAGGGAGTCCAAAATATGGGGGTAGTCCTGAGGAGGGGACAGTAGGGTACAGGTTACAAGCCTTACATAGCTGAGGATGATCCCTTAGAGGAATGAAAACTTGCACATAGGGGACCTCAATCCATTTACCTTCCCTCTTACAGAACAGGTCAAATTGTAAAGGGTATTATAATTTATACTTCCCTTAGGAGGCCAGGCTTCTCCACTTGGCAGAGGGTATTGCGGCCACGCTGTGTGGCAGAGAAAAATGAGCTGCTTCTTCTTCAAAGACCATGGGTCAAATTGGTCCCAGTTATCCAAGATACATTTTAAGGGTGATTTTGCCTTAGGAAGAGTAGCACTCATCTGAAATTGAACACAGGGATGCCTTCATCCCTGGTTATTCCTTGCAACTGCAAGCCCTGGAGCATCCCCCAGTTACAACACCTTGTAATTTCCTTGTATCCTAGATGTGTGATCATCTTCTGGGCCCCCCATGTGCTGGGTTTAATCACGCTTACCACTGTTATGGACATACCCTCACTGTCTAAATGTCCTTATGGCCACCTTAAGGACATGGGGACTGCTGGACTTAGTGGCCCTGTACTAGCGCATCCCTGAAGAACTAGGCCAGTGAGGCTTGGGCGATGGGTGCCAACATTCCCTAGCAAGAGTTCAATTAACATAGGCCTGACCAGGCCGGGCGCGGTGGCTCAAGCCTGTAATCCCAGCACTTTGGGAGGCCGAGGCGGGTGGATCACGAGGTCAAGAGATCGAGACCATCCTGGTCAACATGGTGAAACCCCGTCTCTACTAAAACTACAAAAAATTAGCTGGGCATGGTGGCGCGTGCCTGTAATCCCAGCTACTCAGGAGGCTGAGGCAGGAGAATTGCCTGAACCCGGGAGGCGGAGGTTGTGGTGAGCCGAGATCGCGCCATTGCACTCCAGCCTGGGTAACAAGAGTGAAACTCTGTCTCAAAAAACAAAACAAAACAAAACAAAAAACCATAGGCCTGACCATAAAGCTGCCCTAGGAGGATAAATTCCTGGAGAGGGGCCTCTAAGCACAACAATCTTTTTACTCTTTTTTTAATCTTTTTTTTTTTTTTTTTTAGACGGAGTTTTGCTCTTGTTACTCAGGCTGGAGTGCAATGGCGCGATCTCGGCTCACCGCAACCTCCGTCTCCTGGGTTCAGGCAATTCTCCTGCCTCAGCCTCCTGAGTAGCTGGGATTACAGGCACGCGCCACCATGCCCAGCTAATTTTTTGTATTTTTAATAGAGACGGGGTTTCACCATGTTGACCAGGATGGTCTCGATCTCTTGACCTCGTGATCCACCCGCCTCAGCCTCCCAAAGTGCTGGGATTACAGGCTTGAGCCACCGCGCCCGGCCCAGCACAACAATCTTAAAGAAGGTAATGGCTGGCCACATGGCCAGGGCCGGAACAATGCCCTCGGGACCCAGGCCTCCTCCCCCACCCCACTTTCTATCACAGGAACATGCCCTAGGGTTGTGGAGCCTGTAATAAACGATTTGAGCATTGGACTTGGTCTGACTATGGTATTCTTGATGGAGAAGTTCTATCATACGGACAGCCAATCCTAGGCAAGACAAATCATACATCATTAAATTCTGACACCATTCATCTGGATTGGGAAAATGTGGGTGACAAAAACAAAATGTCTTATAGCCTCCAGTACCCACTGATAGATCCTGGCTCTGTCAGGACATAACTTAGCACTGTGAACTAAGGGAAGTGGCCCTGTGCATTTATACTGCAGGGGGTCCTCATAGGTATAAGCCTGAGAGCACTGCAGGCCTAGGTCCCTGACTGCCACCCCAAAAGCCTTATGTGTAGAAAATGCCTTAGAGGAAAGAGCCAGGAAGAAGTTTCCCTCATGGAAATCTGGACCCAGGAAGTTAGGGTCTGAAAGGCTGGCGTGGCTTGCACAAGCAGCTTTCATTCCCGCCACCCGGCCCAGCACCACTGTGCCACCACTGTGAGTTTGAGAGGCTAGGCTGGCTTGCATAGGCAGCTGCGCCTACCGCCCAGCCAAGCCACTGCTGCACGCAGCCCCACGCAGGCCTGACCTCCCACTTCCTCCTTAACAAAACTTAAAAGAAGCAAAAAGGCAGATTACAAGTGAAAGGGGTCCAATGCCACTTACCACTCTGAAGTCTGACGTCTCTTCCTGGCTGACTTGCCAAAGATGTGAGGGGCGGAGGGAGTGGGGCATCGCCAAAATGCTCTGCTCCCAGTTTCCCGATCTGATGTGCCCAGCTCCTTGACCACTCTTACTGCAAGAATAGGGGAAGGGGCCCCGGAAGTGCTGTTAGCTTACCGTTTGAATAAATATTGTGGACCCAAAGAGTTTAACAAAGAAGCAATGCGTTAGGCAGAGAGAGAGAGAAAGAGAGAGAGAGCTCCCATGCTCTCGCGGATGGGGAATCCAGAGGGGATATCCATATAGGTAAGGAGCATCGAAATTATTCCCACCCCATTCATGTTCTTGTCCAATGAGAGGAGTTCTTTCAAACTTCCACTGGAGTGATTGATCTTTGACTCTGATACCAGATTAGCTACTTGTCCACAACAGAGCCCCCTCCTCCCAGAGCTTTTTGAACCAAGAAGCTCACCTGGATTTTGCTACCTAGCCCGCACATGGGAAAGTCAGATAAAGAACTGTAGGTTCCCGGATGGCGCCATGGTTGGAGGCATGGCACTGAGAAACTCCTGCCTTTGAAACTACACCCCTCATGGACCCAGGAAGAGAAGTTTTTTTCCTTAACATAGTCCCTCAGTGTTGGCCAGGATGGTCTCGATCTCCTGACCTCGTGATCTGCCTGCCTCAGCTTCCCAAAGTGCTGGGATTACAGGCATGAGCCACAGCACTTGGCCTCTTTTTTTATTCCATCCCTTCTAACACTACTCCCAATTATCTAATCTATTATCCCAAGTAATTTCAATCACAACATAAATACTAACAAATAATGATCAGCCAGCAACTACCACTAATCAGCATCCATAACTGTACAAGGCAGCCACACAAAGAATCTTCATGAAACAATCCTGTTTCCTCACTCTCAAAAATCATCCAACTCTCTATGCTATTAAAAACAATCGTGATCCCCACTCCATCGTGCTCAACTATTCACCAAACCAGCATTAACTCCATTAATAGTCCTAATAATAAAGCTCCTCAGACGTTTGACCCTCATGTTTCAGGATACTCCTCAGTAGTCATTGCCATAGTTTAGCCAAAATGAACCATCATACCACCCAAATAAATCAAAAAGACTATCAACCCCATGAAAACCCTACCAAAATTCAACACAATACCACAACCCACAGCACCACTGACAATTAGCCCTAGACCTCCCTAAATAGGAGAAAGTTTCAAAGAGAAACCTACGAACCCTAAAGCCAAAAAGATACTTAATAAAAATACAGTATATGCCATTATTCCCACATGGACTATCACCATAACTAATGACATGAAAAATCTTCAACACACCCACTAATAAAAATTATTAATTCCTCCTTTGTTGATCTTCCCACACCATCTAACATTTCTATATGGAGAAACTTCAGCTCACTTCTTGGTGCCTGCCTAACCCTCCGAATCATTACAGAACTGTTTTTGGTCACACACTACACATTAGACACCTCAACTGCCTTCTCTTCAGTCGCTCATATCAGCCGAGATGTAAACTACAGCTGAATGGTTCACTATTTTCATGCTAATGGTGCTTCAATACTTTTCATCTGCCTCTTCTTACATGTTGGCTGAGGCTTATACGATGGATCATTTACATTTTTAGAAACCTGAAATATCAGCATTATTTTCCTAATCACAACTCTGGCAACAGCATTCATAGGCTACATGCTCCTATGCGGCCAGATATCATTCTGAGGCGCTACGGTAATTACAAATCTACTATCAGCCATCCCATGTATTGGAACCGACCTTGTGCAATGAATCTGAGGTGGGTTCTCAGTTGCCAAGGCTACCCTTCCACAATTCTTCGCTTTCCATTTCATCTTACCCTTCATCATTACAGCCCTAGCAGCTGTTCACCTTTTATTCCTACATGAAACAGGATCTGATGACTCTTCAGGGGTTTCATCAGACCCCGACAAAACTACCTCCCACCCCTATCGTATAACCAAAGAAACTTTAGGTTTAATTTTTCTCCTCCTCCTCCTAATAATGCTGGTGCTATTTTCACCTGAACTCCGGGGTGACCCAGATAACTATGCTTTAGCTAATCCCCTCAACAACCCACCCCACATTAGCCAGAGCAGTAATTTTTGTTTGCCTAAATATTTTATCCAGATGATAGAATATTATTCAGAGCTAAAAGAAGTAAGCTATAAAGAGCTAAAAGAAATAAGCTATAAAAGGCTATGAAAAGACATAGAGGAATGTTAAATGCATACTACTAAGGGAAAGAAGCTAATCTGAAAAGGCTACCCACTGTATGATTTCAACCATACGCCATTCTGGAAAAGACAAAATTATGGCGGCAGTAAAAAGATCAGAGGTTGTCAGCGGTTAGGGAGGAGAGGGGGATGACTAGGCAGAGCACAAAGGCTTTTTAGGGCAATGAAACTGTTCTGGATGCTACTGTAATGGTGAATAGATGTAATTATAAACTCATAGAACGTACACCACCAAGAGCGAAGCCCAATGTAAACTGACTCTGGGTGATAATGATGTGTCCGTGTAGGTTCATCAGCTGAACAATTTACCACTCTGTTGGGGATGTTGACAATGGGAAGGCTATACATGTCTAAGGACAGGAAATATATGGAACATTTCTGTACCTCCCACTCAATTTTGCTGTGAACCTAAAATTGTAGTAAAAAATAAAGTATATTAAAAAACATTATTGTGGACCTCAAAGACTTTTGCTTATGTAGGATATAGGCATAGTGTCAAATATAAAACCACAAGAAGTTAGAAAAATCTTAAAAGTTTATTGTGCATCCCAAAGAATAATTCACAAACCAGGAGAACTGGTGGTCAGAATCCCCACTCAGAGCAGTTACAACATAGTTTATAAAACATAAAGGAGGAAGTATTTGACCTTTTCTATGACTGGCTGTTATATATCATCATTTTGTTAAGGCAGCTAGAGCTGTTTAAGCTGATCGTTTGTACCTGATTGTTTAATTTCAGTGATTTGTGTTGACAAGGACATAAAGCTTATGTCTATAATTTTGTGTTTCATTGACGCTTACAGCTAGTGTTGGGGGGAATCAGGATGACCTACGTGTTGGCTATGTAGTTCCAGGTGATTGGCATTGGCTTTGGGCTATATCTACACTGTGACCTCCATTTTTTTTTAAATTAATGACATATAGAGTGTTAGAAACTAAAACTGATAAAATTCTCGAATATTTCTTTATTTTAAAATAATAACAACAAACCTATCTGATTAACATAAATATCATGTTTTAGGAAAATTAACATGTTTCCAAACAAAATATCTGAGAAGAGCAGCATTGCTTTTTGTTTCTTAACTGTCTTTAGTGCCTTGCTTAATAGATATTGACTGGATTATCATAAGTACTTCTGCATTCAATCTGTTTTAATGTACTGTTTTTGTTGAAGTATATAAAGAAAATTTGGCTTCTCACAAATATAGTTGGAAAAGGGGAGGAGTATTTTAATGGTCCTTTCAGATAACTGTGGATATTATTTTTGATACTACACCAAAAATCAATAAATTATATTTTATTAAAAGTTAGCTACTCCATGGAATCCGAAACCTTATCAATAACTTTTTGTATTCTGATAAATGAAAATTCACTGTCCTATCTTGCACTTTCAGAAAATTTTCTCCCATGATTTATTTTGTAATACCATACACTGATGATTTGAAAAATAGCTGTTTGTTAAATTATAACGATCTTCCAAATTCAATACACAATATCAGAAAATCACAGTTACTAATAACATCATTCATCAGAAAAATTAGCTATGGATTTCCTATACCCTGCAGCTGCCTTCTTCTCACATCTGAGGAATCAGAATTAGGGAACAAGGTCACTCCTTACTACAGAAAAGTAAGGTGAAGATGGGCAAAAAATGATGAAACTGGGTCTATCACAATATGTTACACATATATATGAATGATACAACCTTGTCTGAAGAGAATGGTCATAAGTATATTTTAAAAACAAAGCAAAAAATATGTGCATTTGGAAAGTGACCGGAGAGGGTAGCACGGAGGAGTTCAGTGTTGTTTTTCTTATTAGGGCTGTGGATAATATATTTCATTTTCATTTTTTTTCTATATTTTCTACTTGATCTTTTTGAGGACCCCTTTGAATACCAAAGATGAAAAGATGCATGTCCTACATTTGATGATAAATGTTCCACTTGATGCTATCAAGTACAATTGAAAACTGTATGAACCGTATGCATACATGAGTAATTTTCTTATGTTCTTAGCCTGTTGTCAAAGTATCATATGACATTTTGCACACTTTCGTGACCATGACATGTGTTATCCAATGATATTATAGATGTTGGCAAGGAACAAACCAGCTGGCTCTGTTTTTCAACTATAAATTTTATCTGTGTGAATTATATAAATATCAATTATATCTGAAATACACTGTGCATCTGAAATATCAGAAGTCTCTCTCACATATTTCATCCTGTCTTCCTTTAATTCACACATAATTAGGCCAACATTAACAATCTTGGAATAAGTATTCTGACATTAGATCAAGACTATCATGTTAAAAAAAATCTGTTGTTCAGTGTGTGGCATGAATATAAGTGCTTCCTGTTGGTTAAAAACATGTTTATGGTAAAATCACGCTCATAATTTGTTTTCTGTTTCTGTTCCTGCTGCTGGAAATGCTACGAACTGAGCTAAATGTGATGTGAGTGTTGTAATCCTTGCTCCGTTTCACTGGTCTTAGTGCTCTACGTAGCAGGAAATCTCATCCTGGGGTGGGATTGAGCTCTTTTGGTAAAGGAGGGTAATACCTTGGGATGTGGTAGCTCTACAAATCTATATTACCAACACCAGCCAATTGTTCTTATGAAATACTACGATTAATGAAATAAGTATTTAAATACTTGTAATGAGCTGGTTTTCCTAAGAGGAAAGGGACTAATGGCTGATAATTTAGTTTTGGTCTCCTATTTGGTCCTCCTCCAGGTTCTTCTAATCAATTTCTACATTGATACTTTTTGAAAAATAGAACAAACACCACATTAGCTCCATTTTTTAATTAAAATTTTAATTTTGAGATTTTAGATTCACATGCAATTGGAAGAAATAATACAGAAATATCTCATGGGCCCTTCATCCAATATCTACCAATGGAAAAACTATAGCAATGCCAAAAAAATCAAACAACACAAAATTACAAGTAAAATGCTGATGCTGGTATAATCAAGATGCTGAATAGTTTCAGTACTACGAGGACCCCTCATGTCGCACTTTTACAGCTGCACACATTCTTCTCTTACCGTCACCCTCTCCTTAACCCCTGGCAGTCACCACTTTGTTTTACATTACTGTAGTTTTTCATTTAAGGAATAATATAGAAATGGAATTGCAAGATACAACCTTTTGGGATTGGTTTTTTAACTCAGCAAAAACCTCTGAAGAGTCATCTAGGTTGTTGCATTATCAATTTTTTTTTTGTTTTTATTACTGAGTAATTTCCCAAGAAATAGAGGTACCACAGTTTGCTTAACCATTCACTCTTTGAAGGACATCTGGGTTGTTTCAAGTTACTGGTAATTGCAATTAAAACGACTTCACATATTTTTTGTGTTGTGTAAGTTTCTGGGTGGATATAAGTTTCATTTCTTTAGAATAAATGCCCAGGACTCCAGGCTCTTACTTGGCCTCTGTTGACTCTCAGGTTGGAGCAGAGAGTCTGTCCTCAACTACTAGGGAAGGTTGGGAGTTCCAACTCCAAACTGGTGTCTGCTGGTAACTCACTGATGGGGGTGGATATGAGTGCCTTGTACGGCCCCCTAGATGTCCTCTGCTAATAACAACACCACAACTACCAACACTAACAAAGTCATGCGGCCTCTGCTAACAGCAAGGTGGACTCCTCACCACTCAGTGGGAATGAAACTACCAACTCCTTACTCAGCTTTCCCAAACATTACCCTGGAAAGAAGGGTGAGTGCTTTTCACAGTCAGGCATGAGTGGCAGGCTCGGCTTCCCCACTTGGCTTTGCCATGGGTGGGGCGGAGCCACAAGATTTTTTTGTTGTGGTGATGGTGGTGGTTGGCTGGAATAGGGCTGTTATTGTCTAAAAGTTTTCTGTCTTGCTATTCTTCCCAAGACTGACTTAAATTTTTGGCTAGAGAGAACAGGCCTTTGTTGGAGACTTGTTTGTTGTTTATTCAGTGTCCATTGGTACTTCTAGGTTGACAGCTTCCGTGGCTTCAAGCCTGGGATATATGAGGAGAAAAAAACAAAACAAAACAAAAAAAATGGAACTCATTCCCAAGCTTTTCCTTGGGTCTTCAGGTCCCTAGCTTGTCTGCCTTTTTCTCTCCACCTTTGAGAGTCTTCTGTTTGACCTATATATAAATTTTCCAGGGTGTTAGTTTAACTTAATGGGAAGAATCAGGAAAAATATGTCTACTCCATTTCTCTGGTAGCAGAAGTGCAAATCCACATTTCTTTAAGAAATGAAGCTTACCTTGCTCTGTCTGGCATTCAAGTGTGTCCCAATTTACATATTATATTGTATCTTCTCATTGCTTTACTGCAGAGGGGTCTTTTACTTATCTTAAAAATAACTCATAATTCTGACATGTAGACTTTTTTTCTTTTTTTGAGCATTGCATATGAAATGCTTTTGCTGCTCCTCTTCTTTGTACTGAAGCAAGCTATATTGGTGTGTCAAAGCCAATACGAACACTTGTTCCAAGCAGCCTCCCCCAGCTAGAGAAGCCGTCATTGATTTCTCACTATTCTTACAGCACTTGTTCTCTGAACTACTCATTTTGTCCTTTATTACGAATACTGTTATCTAGACACTTTGTGTTATTTGGTGGCATTTGTTATTTAATGGCTTTCCCATTACCTCCTTGACCTCAAAGATGGTCTTTATGTAAAACAAAAAGAATTTTGTTTTATAATATTTTGTGTCACTCATTTTTGTGCCAAAAATATTTTCTTCAATCCCTGTTTATATTCATATAAAAAGTTGCAGTATTTTCTAAACTATATTCCAAATAGACTTTTAAATATATAGAAGCTTCATAAAAAATAATATGGAATTGCCCGGGCGCAGTGGCTCAAGCCTGTAATCCCAGCACTTTGGGAGGCCGAGGCGGGTGGATCACGAGGGCAAGAGATCGAGACCATCCTGGGTCAACATGGTGAAACCCCATCTCTACTAAAAATACAA